TCCAACTGTCCTTCCCATGCATTGCTGGAACTTGGCCAGGGAATGGTATCTTCACACAGTAGGACACTATGATTCCTTCCTTCTTTTGTTGGGGCAGACTGCTGTTAACCTGGCAAGGTAGGACAACTGTCATATGATTCCTCCTTCTGTTGGGGGAGAATCACTGATCATTACGGACGCCAGTACGGCGGACGCTTAAGTTCGCAATTTTTTTAGTTGTTTTTTTTGTGCCCAAATGAATTGGACCGGTGGCTGCCAGGGCGGTACATCAAAACTGTGGTGTGCTTGTATACGGCCCAGTAAAGGTTAGGCTCTGAGGTTGGGGCTCGTACTAGTGGCGTAACTCTCATTGGATTGTGTCAGAAAGAACAAAGAAGCGCCAGGTGGGCCCGACTGGATATCCTAAACTGATGAGCTTGGCAATTTGATGCCCATGGTCCGAAACGTGTTTGCCCAGTGTATTGTATCCATATCTTCTCTGAAGCATAGGATATACCCTGCACCTGTCCTTCGGGACATCCGTTAAAATTGGAACGATACAGAGAAGATTAGCATGGCCCCTGCGCAAGGATGACACGCATAAATCGAGAAATGGTCCAAATTTTTAACAAAAAAAAAAAAAGGATATACCCTGCACCCACACCATTATTTCCAAGACAGAGGAAGTTCCCAACTGTAAGTTATGGATGATTCAGCTTGTTTGTTTCTTTCAGCCTTGTTCCTAGCAGTGGCTGTCATGGCAAATATAGCGCAAAAGGACACTGTAGGGGCATGGGTTACTCTGTGCTCCCCTCGAGAAGCTGAGGCCTGACAGATCTGAGTGGGACGGCCGGGCCCAACTGGTGCAGCTATGTTCGTGCGAAGAGAGCACTAACCTCAGAGGTAATCATGCTTTCTGAGGGTCGATCCACATAGCACTACTACTAGTGGGCCGGCTGCTAACCATGCAATCCAGCACAAAGAGCGGTGATAGTCCCTGGACAAAATATACAGGGCTATCACCTTCTCTGTCAAGACTTTCCAATCTTTTCTAATTTGCTTGGATGGTATTTAGAGCCTAATCCGCGTTCGCTCGCCACTACTAACGGAGTCTCGGTTGATGTGC